CCCCAAAACCCCAAAACCCCAAAACCCCAGCTATATCTATTTCAAATAAAATCAAATATGAGTAATTTATTCAAGGAAATGGATATTAAAGTTAAAAATTCTTTCAAAAATTTCAGTTAAGCTTGAAATTTTTGGCTGCTTCTAGCAATGACTTGTTGTGGCTAATGTAGAGATATGTATGGAGACCATATGCAATAATGACTAAAAATCCTATGAATAAGTATCTGTAATAAGTAGATTCCTATAGTTAAAGATTAAATAATCAATTTCTTACAGCTTGTTCTAATAATTACTAGTCATCAGCTATCTTTTGCTATAGCATCTCTGAAATGAATTAAGTATTAAAATAAATGGTTTACCTTTCTCAGATTTAAGAGTGGAAATGAGCTGAATCTCATGGACACTTTGCTAGTACTCTTCTACTTCTTTCTCAGGCATATTGAATACTATTTCTTCCTCTACTCTTTCAAATGGTTAATTTTTAAGTTCATCAATCATTATAAGTCTAAGATCAGTCTCATCCAATAATTACTGTTGCTTGACTTTAGTCTAATTCATAGTTTCTCTCAATTTATCATTGTCCTCTTTCATTAGTTCAACCATTTTTGCCTTTTGCTCAACGAGAGTCCTCAACTCAGCACATTTTTCATAAGCTTCTCTGCTCTAGTTGGCGATTGGTTAAAGTTCTTCGTTAACCTTTTCAAGCTGCTCCTATTCTTTTTTAAGGACATTTTTGACATTTGTAGCAACTATTGTTTTTCTCATTTCGGCAATTTACCTTCTCTGTTCAACCTCATTTGCCAAATATGAACTGAGTTTTCCCAATAAAACTTAGGAACTATCCTTTTCAACGCCAGCAATCTAGTCAAGTTCGTTTTATAAATCCTAAAGTTGTATTCTTGAGACCTTACCCTAAGGGGCGCTTGCTAAAGTCTAGTTTACTTTTTATTAGAATGGCTCTAATTTAGCAATTTTTTACTTGACTATATCCATAGCCTTTTCTTGGGTGAAGAGGTAATCTTTCCTAGCTTAAATCAAATCGTCGTTATCCTTCTTCTTCTCGTCTAGTTACACTACCTTTGCTCTGTTATTAATATTTTGAGACTTAAGTTTGGGGATTGCTGTTTATAAATCCTTCAATGCTGAGTTATTGATACTTGATTCTTTGTCAAGACTCGCCTAATATTCATTTAACACTACTCTCTAATCTGCCTCAGAACTTTTCTATAGCAATGATGACTATAGTTTCTTTTAAGCAAGATCAGCTCTCTTGAGAATTACTTACTATCTCAAATTTTATATTTTTTATTGCTCTTCTGAAATAACCTCATCTGTAACAATCTTAAGTCTCTCAATCTCTTGCTCAATATTCAAAGAATCTTATTCCTTCTATCTCAAATATTCATAGTCTTGTAACTGCTTGTTATACTTTAAGATTAAATCATTCACTTCAGTTTTGAGATCTAAAATTTGATCTTTCTCAGTTTTACCCTTTGGCTATTAATTAGCATTTTATGTACCAGCTCCAGTAGTACCAGTTGTATTAGTGGTTGTCCCTGTAATTCCTGGCTTTTTTTATTCTTCTTATTTAGGCGGGAGATTTTGATTGTTTTAGTTTTACTATTAAATCTATGTATTTTATTGAGTATTAGCTCCAGTTTATTATTACTGTTATATGCCCTTTTGATCCTAAGCCGCATTTTTCTACTAATTCTATTGTTATTATTAAGTAGTTCCACCTGCAACATTGGTGTTTTGCTATTATGGGTTAACCTTTGGATCGACTTTTTGCTACTATTATTGCTGCTATTATTGAGTTTGCTATTAAGTTTATTAAGTAGTCTATTGATTAGTGCCTGTTGTTCCTGGCTTTTATTGATTAGCTGCAGTCTTCTGCTCTTCTAGTGTTTTTTGAGTATTTGTAGTAGTTGTAGTGGCTTACTTCTATTCTTCTACTTTCCCAGTAGTTGCTTGTGGCTTAGTCTATAGATTTTTAACATAATGAAGTATATTACATTTTATTAAGTTTGATTAGTTGTGGCAGTATTATTGGTAGTCGTATTTGTGGTAGTAGTATTCGGCTTGACTTAACCCTAAGTATTTGCTTAAGTCTATGATTAGGTCTAGTTTGTAGTCTAATTGGTAGTTGTGGTATTATTTTTCATTTTCTCAATAAACTATTTTAATAAATTAAAATAAAACTTAAAATGAGGCAATATTAAGCAATAAGGGGTTTTGGGGTTTTGGGGTTTTGGGG